GGCGCTGTTCCCAACTTTGGCATTGCCCCTCAGATCATGGTGTTGATGAAGTGTACCAAGATTTGTTTTAATTGATCAATCAAGTGATGGCTTCTAGTTCTAACATTGTTAGCTTGGCATTGAAAATGGTCAACATGTGACCGAAACGTTTGCCTTGTTTTTATTCAGTAAATTGTTCATATTACTTTCATCTCGCTTGTGACTTTTTGATGTTTGAGTGTGCAGACTTTTTTCAAGCTCTTCACTTTTTGGGTATCTTTGTTATTACAAATAAGGACAGATGCAAAAAAAATTAAAATAAAAAAAAAACAGTAGAACAAATATAAGAAAGAAACAAATAATGCATTACCTTTTTCATTTTACACATAACAAAAGCATTCAAGTAAGAAAAACAAATAATCAAATGTAAAAATCCCTTTAGTGTGTTCATTACAAATAAATTGATTATTAAAACTATAAAAGCAGTTCAATCAAGACCGGCGAACGATTGCCTTTTCTTTTATTGTTAGATTAACATTGAGGCGGCCTATATTGACCTACTGTAATGCACGGATCTAATATAATGTTACACATCAGATGTTTTTTTCCCCAACAGTTCCCCAAACATTCACTTAAGACATAACAGATTATGTTTGCGTGAATACTTAAATACTGTATTTCTGAGTATATGTATATATTTATCGGGATCACGCAGTCGGAAGCGCCTTTATGCACGCGCTTCGGATGACAGTCAGCGTGAGAAGCGAGCGGAGAAAAGGTACTCCTCTCAGAAAACGTACAAATAAAGATACTTTTAGATGTTTAATTGCTATTTGGAGCACTGGTAGCATGTGTGCGCTGTCTACTGAATGTAAACCACGCTGATTACGTTGATTACATTCTGGGTACTCTCCAAAATGGCGGAAGACGGTAACTCGGGGAGAAGAATTGTTGAATAAATTATGTTGTTATTGTTAGATTAACATTGAGGCGGCCTATATTGACCTACTGTAATGCACGGATCTAATATAATGTTACACATCAGATGTTTTTTTCCCCAACAGTTCCCCAAACATTCACTTAAGACATAACAGATTATGTTTGCGTGAATACTTAAATACTGTATTTCTGAGTATATGTATATATTTATCGGGATCACGCAGTCGGAAGCGCCTTTATGCACGCGCTTCGGATGACAGTCAGCGTGAGAAGCGAGCGGAGAAAAGGTACTCCTCTCAGAAAACGTACAAATAAAGGTAATTAAACATATAAAATTATTATTTGGAGCATTGGGATCGCTAGACGAGGGCTTAATGAACTCATTTTTGTGAAAATTTTTCACTTTTCATTGCCTGTAGCTCAAAATTAGCCTGTGCGCATTCCGACTGATTTTGCCAGCACTGGTCACAATTGGTGATTTGCCCTCCTGGGTCACAATAAAACTTAATTATCTGTCTTTATTCTCAACTTCACATTTTCTGTCTTTCTGTGTAGGGGCATCACCATTCCAGAGCATGCCATTCCTGCCTCAGGGTTATGCTGTCCACAGCCATTTCACCACCCAGCCAGGTAAGGAAGCCACCTTACATTTTTTTTTCATAACATTCATCACACTGATATTAATAGGGCTTTTTCTAAAACATTTCAGCTTCACTTTAAATCTCTTCTGGCCAGAGATATGTCATACAGATTAGTATTGTGCTATTTTATGTCAACAATCGATCCATCATTCCTTCTTTCCTCGTATGAACTTCACAGGATTCATCCCTAGTGCTAGTATCTCCCTTCAGAAACAGCTTGAACATGCTAATCAGCGGTCTGGCTTTACTGACTCGGTAAGTACTCACTGAGACTCATTTGTTAAATATTGGGAAGCAAGCTTCAACGTCCATGAGAAAATGTATTGTTTTCATGCATGTGCTACAGATGGTTGTGGCTGGGTAGTACTTATTTGTGTGTATTGTCATTAATAGGCTGCCCTTAGACCCATACATCCACAGGCTTTGCATGAGAGTACAACTGGTCTGATGCCCACTCCATCCATGGTTATCCAGATCCCTGCTGCCAAGGTGAGCTCACTAACCTGCATTGAACCTTTCTAAATGCTCATTATGGATAAAAATGTGTTCAACATGGACCCTTTATCTTGATAATGGGTGTTTAAGAATTTTCTCTTTAAACAATTCTGTTTGTTCTGATTTATCAATTCTTGTTTTGCATGCTGAGTGCGACAGTGCACTAGATACAGTGGGTACGGAAAGTATTCAGACCCCCTTAAATTTTTCACTCTTTGTTATATTGCAGCCATTTGCTAAAATCATTTAAGTTAATTTTTTTCCTCATTAATGTACACACAGCACCCCATATTGACAGAAAAACACAGAATTGTTGACATTTTTGCAGATTTATTAAAAAAGAAAAACTGAAATATCACATGGTCCTAAGTATTCAGACCCTTTGCTGTGACACTCATATATTTAACTCAGGTGCTGTCCATTTCTTCTGATCATCCTTGAGATGGTTCTACACCTTCATTTGAGTCCAGCTGTGTTTGATTATACTGATTGGACTTGATTAGGAAAGCGAAAAATTTAAGGGGGTCTGAATACGTTCCGTACCCACTGTATATATAATGAGAATACAAAATAAGACACATTTGTAAAAACACAGATGCTGTGGAAAAACAAAGTGATACAATATCTAGTCAAAGATCTAAGTGCCTGTACATTGTTGGTTGCTACTTTAAACAATTTCACTTTTTTTTTTTTTTTTTTTTTTTTTAGAAAAAATACTTTAAATAATTTTATCATCTTCATTTGAACCTTAAATCTACACCTCTTCTTTTGTTTTCTCAATATTAAAGATGTTATTTGTTAATTAAAAATATGGTAGATTTGGTGGGGATAAAGCATTTTTCTTTTTCATTTTATTCATGACAGTCCAATTACTAGGTTTTATATAAACTAGATTGACTTTATTTATTATGTTTTAGGCTTCATTCCAGAATTCTTCTCAGCCAGCATCATGGCATGCCATCCTCCCTCACACTGGACAGAGATTCTTCCACCATGGAAAACCACATTAACTACTAAAAGTATGATCTTGACAAGGTGCCAGGCTACAGAAAAGTATTTTCTGAGGCTCACCTTAGAAGAGAGCTGAAACCCACTTAAATGTTTTTTTTTTTTTTAACATTGTAATAAATGTGGTGACGTAATTTCAACTGAAACAGGAAGCCAGGGCGGGACATCAAACAGCCCCGCCCCCTTTTTAAATTAGCCAATAGCGTTTTGTTTGTATCTGCACGGGTCAGAGCCGTTGAGCTCGGTAAAGCCGCATTTGACAGCCACATTCTAATAGATTACCCCCTAGAATCAATATGAATCTCTTAGTAAAACAAAATAGTGATCATAATCATGCTGAGGCTGTTTGGTTTAGAAGTGTTTAATATATGCCGACTCGCGCATATGATCCGCTCCGAGCGATCGCGTCTCTGGACCGGAGCCAAAGTCCGGATCAGACTGTGTGCGCTGCCGCGGTTCGCGTGAAACAACGTGAAACCAGACCTCATTTTCCCCAATAGAAAGCATATTTACACTGTCTGAATCGTTCCCTATCGCCTACATTGTACACTACGTGCCATTCACTGTACAGGAAATACTACACTATGAACAAGCGACAACTCTCAGCCGCAGCTTCAGCATCTATTTATAGTGTAGGGGGCGGGCGCTTCGGCTTCTAGAGAGCGTTTGAAACCCCCAACTGCTCCCGATGTGATGTCAAAAAAAATCGTTGAGCCGCTTTGGCGGAAGTGACGAACTAAAAGCTTTGAATGCTTATATCTTCTAAATGCGAATTTTGTCACTGTTTTGGAGCACACTGCCTTATAGATAAGCTTAAGACTAACATATTGATACTAACATCCCAAAATCCTCATGGGGACTTTAACCTTAGTGAGGCAAACATATAGCGACACAAAATTAACGCATGAGATTGATTAGATAGTAAAAGTATACAAATATACGCCAAAGAAAGCAATCAAGCCTTTTTTTTTTACTAAATTAATCTACACAAGTCGCGCTTAATGTCATAACCAATTATGTGTGTTGAGATACCTAGTATGAAAATAAATGTAGCCTGATTTGCATAGGCGGAGGGTGAACCAACTCCAGGGTAAGGCTAAAAGCTAAATGTATTAAACATAGATTACAATTGAATAAAAACGTTAGAAATTTATAATTATATAACGCTTCCTTTCCACAGTTATTCAAACAGCGAATAAATTATATATAGAACGTGACATTATCACTAACATTGATCTATCGTGAGTTTAAGAAATCTCAAAAAAACAACAATATCGTTATAATCACTGAAGCTGTATACACTGTGAAATGAATCTCTTATTTACATTGTAGGTACATCTGCGCTTTGTTGTTTATGATGAGATTCGCAAGAGTCCGGAATTCAGTCAGCGAACGCGCCCGCTCTCAACAAAACTGATCTGTTTAAACGATGACTCATCTGAACGCCTCTGATGGCCATTGCATTCCTAAGCTCAACAAAATTGTGTGTGATTGGTTCAAATGCGCAACACTGTAAAAACGCCTAAAATGAAATACGGTGCAACATGAGCAGATCTTAATTTAATGCCGCAATCGACACTGTCTATTCATATTCACTTTGTTAGCAACAGACGTAATAGATTTAATTTATTTGTGCAGGGGCATTTTTGTCCAATTTAGTGCCATTTTTGCCCCAACTCCGCATGGCCACACGCTCCGCCTATGCTGATTTGGTTATATGTCTTTTCTTATTTAACCATAATCATGATATTGTAACTGTGGTGTCTTGCTCACTTTTCCGTGAACAGCCGTGCATAAATCAAAACTAGGACTAATGAAATTCAATAATAACGGCAATCGCATTTAACAGTAAAGGCTTAGGCTATATTTGAATGTTCTTTTCATTTATGAAGAATTCTAATCGTGTGTATGATGCACATTTGTTCAAAAGCCTGGCAGAGTGATCACAAGATCAAGATGCTAGGCAAAAGTGTTGTGTTGTTTACAGAAAGGATGCGCGTTCTCATCTTTTTTTTCCTGTTAATTATCATGTTGCGCTGCATGTCTGTTTTTCTTCAAAGCACCAACTAAGAATGCCTAATGTTGGTTTGATTGCTTGTGTTACATGATAAAATAAATAATCTTGCTTACCTTATGTAATAGATTTAATGCGAGTGCGGTTCGGGTCGCGACTCGCGGTCTTTATGTCAAACGGTTCTGGTCTGGTACAGAATTAAATTAGTGCTGCTGTCAGATAATGGGTCGGGTGTTCTGTTAAGTACTGCTGGTGCACGTTTACCAAACAGGACCCGTGCAGGCTTTAAACTGCTTTGCGTCTCTCCGTCAGATAACCCCATGTGCGTGATGCGCCATTACAGGCTATTTCCCTAAACCTCCACACAGCTGGTATATTTTTCCGCCAAGTCAAGTCAAGTCAAGTCACCTTTATTTATATAGCGCTTTTAACAATACAGATTGTGTCAAAGCAACTGAACAGCATTAATTAGGAAAATAGTGTCAATAATGCAAAATGACAATAGTAAACACAAATTTTTCAGTTAAAGACAGTTCATCATTCACATTCATCATATTTTTCCGCCAAGTGGTGAGAACGTAATGATTACGAAAACGATTATTTATTTTTGATAATTATTATTTTATTTCAGTTAGTTTTTCAATAACTGTTGTTAGTTTAGTGTAGTTTTTCAATTATTTTGACGTTTTTATTTTATTTCAGTTTACGAAATAGTTTTTTCTTCGATCGTTTTAGTCTTTGTTTTAGTTTACGAAAATAGCCTTGATGCTGGCTTCCTCTGTGTTATCAGTCTCATTGGGGGAGAGGGTCTTACTGAATCATCCATCTATATACACCAGGTTGTGTGATATTGTCACCCCCTGCCAAGGGTATTTTGCTTTAAGCTACTGGAAGATAAACGGGAAGTTAAGCAGACCACTTGGTCCTGTAGTGAAGACACACAACTGTATATGCCTTTGTATCTGTCCTTTACAGGAGATTCTGCACTTTTTTTCCTCCCATTTGCACTATAATTGCTCATAAAATTAACCACATAACAGAACTATAGCTGTTTACAGCTATAGCCATTTACCATTGTGATTTAAGTTAGCAAAGAACATATGAGGGGTAGTTATCTTAAAAAAAAAAAAAAAAAGTGACAAAATAAAAACAGACACTCATGCTAGTAAAGACAGTTATGAGGTGCCCTCCCTCACCCTTCCAAAAAAAATAAAAATAAAAATAACACCTTTTCCCACCCCAGCCATCCATCACTACGGTACTTCTGCCCACTGTTCATACATCCATTTCTGTTTTTTTTTTATTTTTTGTATGTAACTTTTGTTTTTGAAAAAAAAACAAAAAATTGGTTGGAACATTATTATTAAATTTATTTTCTAGTTTTTAACACGCACATGGGCTATTAAAACACACACACACACACTGAAAAAGAGAGAAATAAAGAAAGAATGAGAAAGAAAAAAGGAGGGAGGATAGCATTTCTGAGGTCTAATTCTCTCATATCCAGGTCCAATGCATCTTGTCAACCCCTGAAAGGAAGAAAGAAGTACAGGCAGGAGTGAGTGAAGAAGGGGTGATAAAAGTAACATAAGCAAGGAGGTAGAAATAAAAATAGGGAAAAAAAGAAGGTAAAGGTAAGTCCATATCCACAACACACAAATAGTAGGAGGAAAGCTGGTACAAGTCAAATCTTCAGTCAAAAATGTATGACTGTTCAAAACAGGTTTTATATAAATGTAGATAGACCGTCTACAAAAATAAATGGGCTCTCCATTACTAAAAAGAGTCTGAAATACTTGCTTGGATATCTGTTCATTTTGAAGCCCAAAGTCAAAGTGCACAATAAGCCACTACGCAATCACTTTATGACTCTCCCATTAACTCAAAACTAAAACAATTCTATTTACAACTTAGTCACTGCTTTTACATACCAGATACATCGAACACTGTAGCAGTCCTACATCTGTGATACACAAAAGTGCCAGTGTGCAAACAGTAAAGTATACTATGTAAAGTGGGCATACTTTGTAAAACCTTGTTTAAAACCTTTTTTATACATTATTAAAGATCCTGGGTCGATTACTGGGCACTGATTGCATCCAGGACAAAAATAAATAATAATAATAATAATAATAATATTAATAATAATACGGTGTTTGTTTTATTGTTTAAAGTAAAAGTAAACATTTGAATAAGTGCTTTGCTGCAAGCACACTGGTGAGGCACAGTTGCTCAGGGCCTAGTTAGCAGGTGAGCATGCGCACACAGCCGTAAGAGCTCCATATACCTGCTGTGTTTTATTTAGCCATGGCTTTGATGGCTACTGCAGCCTCCTCATTCATAGCAGACAGGACAGTGATCTGCAAAGAAATAAGAAATTACTAGGGATGTCCCGATCAGGTTTTTTGTGCCCCCGATCCGAGTCATTGAATATTGAGTATTTGCTGATACCGAGTCCCAATCCGACTTGTATATTCCTATAGGAACGAATGTTTGGTGCACACTTCAAGTGCATTAGAGTTATTAAATTCAATCCAATGTTTACAGAGTTGTGCAGAAAGTAAAAGTAATATATGTATGATGTATATATATTTCAAGATACACTCTCTCTCTCTGTGTGTGTGTGTATATATATATATATATATATATATATATAAACAAACATACAAATTAAACAAATTAAAATATATATATATATATATATATATATATATATATATATATATATGCACACACTGTATACAGACATTGGCAGATGTACTGTAAACGTTACAATGGTAGACATTGTGGTCACAATTATGAATATGGGACTACTTGATATAAACGTCTTGTATTTTATATGTATAATAAGCAGAGTAATTGCAACAAAGTGAAGATAAGGTTAGAAAGCATGTAGCTCGCGGTGTCAGAACGCCAGTCTGTTAGTCAAGTCCGAATCAAGACTCAACCCATAGCAACACGTTATAACAACGACGTCTCCGACGGCAGATAAAAGTAGTTACAAAAGCACTTACAAAAGTGCACATCAAATACACTGAACACAGAAGCTCAAACGTGTGTGACGCTCTAGAACAGACCTCAATGTTTTTCCCGCGTCATACATGCACATTTGACTGATTTGAGCGTCTATGGCATTATTTCACATTAAATCACATGCCTTAATAAAATAAAAATGCAGTGTATTACATATTGCTTTGAAATGTTATTACTTATGAATATAAACTGTTAATACAGAAATAAATTTCTGATATGCTGCACAAATCTGAGATTGCGGCATCTCGTAACAGCACTTCAGGTGGCACCTCTAGCAGCCAAGGACTTTCTCCGACAGCTGCCGCTACAGCGGCATCTCCAGCAGCCATGGAGTTCTTATTTTAAAAACTAAATTTCAACAAAATAGCATACCACAGGACTGTCATTTGTAAGCATTTATCATAAATTTTGTTAATACAGTAGTGAGTTTCTGAGAACTTTCATCATATTTGGAGAACTTTCATCATATTCTCCCTTCCAGCTGTGCAGTTTTTCAAGGGCTTTGATTTGTTTTTCTTTATCCATGGAAAGGACACTGGGAACATGTGAAGCATCAAACTTTGTGTTGCGGCACCAGTCAGCTGCAGCTATGGTGTCTCTCAAAATAATGTTTTCCTTCAGTAAAGAATAAAACATGGTCAAAGTATTTAGTGTATTACTTATGTTATAAACTAATGCTTTAAAGTTGTAGAGCATTTACATTGCATCATTAATAAATGCTCTTTGTAACAAAGAAGAATGTCTATCAAGATTTGTCATTTAACATCTTAAAGACACATTTGTATAGCTATTACATTATAAGCCATTAGTTATTTTAATTAAAATTTATAACAATATGGCCATGCTTTTAGTGAGTTTATAATGCATTACTTACATTTCTCAAAATGTAAAAATCGTTATAAAATTTTTAAGAGAGAAAGTCCGTTACTGGAGATGCCGCTGTAGCGGCAGCTGTCGGAGAAAGTCCTTGACTGCTAGAGGTGCCATCTGAAGTGCCACTACTCTTATCAGAAATTTCTATATTAACAGTTTATTTTCATAAGTAATAACATTTCAAAGCAATATGTAATACACTGTATTTGTATTTTATTAAGGCATGTGATTTACTAATTTCGTTGGCACTGAAACATAACTGTGATATTGACACACTTATTGCTGGAGATAGCCTATATATTTATATAGCCTATACACACACACAACAATTTCAGCTTTCTCTTATGTAGTGATGCATCAAAACTTTATTAACAAAATGTATGATAAATGCTTACAAATGACAGTCCTGTGGTGTTTAAAATAAAAAGTATTATATCAAATTATGTAATTGGCCAGCTGCATGCGCTGCTGAAGAAAGTACCTGGCTGCTGGAGATGCCGCCGGAAGTGCCGCTGCGAGATGCCAATGCCACATTTTGTGCCAGCCCTCTCTCGATTTCCTTTGCCCTCGCACAAAACGTGACGCACACTTTCAGATATATGCTGCTCTCACCCAAAGGGTGTGTACGCGCACTTAAAACGTGTCCGTTGCAATCACAAATCTCTCCTCTCGCTCAAAGTGTGCATGCTCAAACTGTCCTGTGCACTCACAAATCTTTCCGTGCTCTTGCACTAGAAATTAATTATTTTCGCACCTGGAATAACAGTCAAAAAAAACACGACTGACTGATGAAAATGCTACGTGAAATCTAATTGGCTGAGAGGGAACTGCACCTGGCATTCTTTTGACAATAAAAGATGGATCTTTAATTTTGTTACAATTTAATATTTAGTCATATTAATCAAAAGTATATTAGAAATGGCTAGGAATGGGGTGCTTGGATGATTTGTACATATAAATAACCAATTTTACAGTAACTTACTGGCAGCTGGATGCCAGTAAATTACTGTAAAAATGTTTACAGTATTATTACTGTAATTGCATTTACAGTACAATAATGTCTTTACTGTATTTTATTTACAGTATTATTACCGTATTTTCATTTACAGTATCAGTACTGTAGTTTATTTTCATTTAGTTTAATCATTTTTTACCTGTAAAAATCCAATTGTAGTACTGCACTGTAAACCATTATTTTTACCATCCTAGCCCCCCAAAAATCACAATAACTCATGAGCTTTAGTTCTGATAATATTATTTTTAATTGTTGAACATTTTCTTTTTAAAAGTACAAATTACAAATCTTGACCTCTCAGATGCACTAGCTTAAAAAAGGGCATCACCACAGTCCCCTGGGGACTTTGTATCATCAAACATACACATACTGAAAAGCAAAAATTAGCAAGTACACTACCAGACAAAAGTTTTTGAACAGTAAGATTTTTAATGTTTTTAAAGTCTCTTCTGCTCACCAAGCCTGCATTTATTTTGATCCAAAATACAGCAAAAGCAGTAATATTGTGATATATTTTTACTACTAAAAATAACTGCTTTCTATTTGAATATGTTAAAATGTAATTTATTTCTGTGATCAAAGCTGAATTTTCAGCATCATCACTCCAGTCTTCAGTGTCACATAATCCTTCAGAAATCATTCTAATATGCTGATAAATAATCCTTCAAAATCATTCTAATATGCTGATAAACATTTTTCGATATTATTATCAATATTTAAAACATTCGAGTAAATTTTTTCAGGATTCTTTGATGAATAGAAGGATCCAAAAATCAGCATTTATCTGAAATAAAAAGCTTTTGTAACATTATACACTATACCATTCAAAAGCTTGGAGTCAGTATCATTTTGAGAAAGAAATGATATAAATTAATATTTTTATTTAGCAAGGATGGAATATTAGAATGATTTTTGAAGGATCGTGTGACTGGAGTAATGATGCTAAAAGTTCAGCTTTGAACACAGGAATAAATGATATTTTAAAATATATTCAAATACAAAACAGTTATTTTAAATAGTAATTCAGTCATTTTGACAGTAAAAGTTGACAAGCTCTCCGATGAGAAACAGCAGGATGGGATTCAGGCTGCACCCTCTTTCCAAAATTCCACCTGATCTGTGACTTTCAATGCATTTGGTGCCACAAATGTTGACCGTCTGAATGAACCTGCAAGCACAAGGAAAACAACATTATTTTTCAAAGCAGTGTTTACAGAATTTGCCTCAACTGTCAAACTTGTTGGTGCTGTATGCACTTTGACGTTAATAAAAACTTTATATATTACATCTGAACACACCTACAAGGAAGGTACATAATTAGTTGATAATCCATCTCATTCAAATTATTAAAGCTCCATTTTTTACAATGCATTCTCAATCAATAGAGCAAAGTGCTGAAATAATGGGTTTGATTCCCAGGGCAGTTCTACGGTGAGTGGATATCCGGGGCTTAGCCCAGAAACATTATTGCATGTTTCAGAATACACGGGATACACTTCAAATAAAATAGGCTATGCTGAAAAGTTACATTGGCTAAGTGGCTTAATTTTTTATTTTTAAAGAGAGAAGTATAATTGACTATAATTTGCACTTACAAATTGCATAAATAATATTACAGTGTTTCCCACAGACTTGCACTCTATTTGTGGGGGCATATATATGCAAATTAATTCTCTGTCAGCAGGTGGCGCTGTTGGTAGAGATCGAGGTTTCCCCGGTAAGGCTGTACACAAAGGATGGGTTACGAGTCCGACTCTCTAACCATTAGGCCACGACTTCCCTCTACATGTCAGGTCACTTTTAAATAAAATAGGCTATGCTGAAAAGTTACATTGGCTAAGTGGCTTAATTTTTTATTTTTAAAGAGACAGTTTAAGTCGACTGTTTTAAGTCGTTCAAAACAGGTAAATTAATTCTGTAATGAAACACTGCTGTGTGAAGAGATGCACAACATGGCTTTTTTTTTTAGAACCGTTTTTGCGAAATAGAGCGAAAAGACAATATTTTCTTCACAATTTAAATCACTTATTATTTTAATATTAGCTATTCTTAATATTAACTTCTTGTTTATTGAATTTTGTTGCCCTGACTCTTAGTTAAGCCTGCCACAGACCAGGCTAAATGCTAACCAATCTGTTCATATAATCATTCTAAATGCGTGTGTGTGTGTCCAAGAAAGTCTGTGCATATAATAGGCCTACTTAATCTATATTTGATGCTATACAGTAACAATAATCTAATTTTGACAGATAGTGAGATTGGTATTATGAATTTATAGGCTACAGTAAGTTAAAGATACCTGAAGCAGCTGCATTTTGCAGTTTAAGTGCTGGTTTAATATAAATAATTTGAATGTGCATGAAAACTCAATCTTGAGGTGCATAAGACACTAATAAAAACATTTGGGGCTTCAGCCCCCTTAACCCACCACTAGCTCCA